ATTATTAACACGTTTTAAACATTGAGTTATATTCCCACTGAAAAAACATCTTTTCAACAAACTGTTGAGCAGAAGCACAAAACAAAAGAAATCTAACCTCTCTCTCAAGCGTGTTAATCTGGAAATGACAGACACAGATGGTCCTAATGTGCAATTTTTATTACTGTTATTACTATTTTTTATTTTTGCTTTTTTATCTTCTCTCCAGTTTTCTGGGGCCACCCTAGTGCCCCCTGGGGGGGGGGGGGGGGGGCGACCCCCATTTTGAAAAACACTGCTCTAAGCTACTACCACATTAAACTGTAGCTCAGCTCAGCATGTATAAAACAAAGTCATCGACATATAATGTTAACTTGTTATGGCAGCCATGTTAAATACAGGTGACGTCAGACGGATGAGCAGAAACAGTGTTGCTGTTTAAACTTTAGCTCCAGGCAATACAATATAAAAACATATTTTATTTCATGGAAACAAAGATTTGTGTTGGTTGTATTTTGGCGTGCATTACCTGAAACCTAAACTTGTTATTGTTGTCATCACAAGCTGACCCGTTGGTGCAGTCATAGGAGATGATGGGTATTAAACATGACGTAGTTGCTGTGGTCCATATGGGATCAGTGGAAGTCTCTTATTATGTCTCTAATTTGTGCGTAGGTCACTGCTTGTTCATGATGGATTGTTACTTTTTTATTTATTTGTGGCTTAACTTTTAACCCTTCTGTTATAACCACAAACTCCAGTTGATCTATAACTGTGTTTGACCTGTGTGCTTCCAAGGTGCAAACCGTGTGTGCAGAGTTCTCTGTGTGGGCCTGAAACTGAAGCTCTTTTCCCTCCACCTCTGTTTTTCTCAGAACCCAGTGCAGGAGTGGGGTGAGGAGACAGAGGACGGAGCGGTGTACGGGGTCACTCTGCACCGGGAGCCCGTCCCTGGATCCCCCAGCCCCTGCGAGACCAGAGCACCCTGCTGTGGTTTCGTCCAGTACCGGACCTGCAAGGTGCGGCGCCTGAAGGCCGCCACTCTGGACCAGCTGGTGAATCATCTCCTCGACTGTAGGAACCAGGAGCAGGACTACGGCAGGATCTTTCTCTCCACATATAGAACTTATACCAACACAGCAAAGCTCATAGAGCTGCTCTTTCAGAAGTACGTCCAGAATAGGTTCTGTTTTTCTTCACTCTGTAAGTTTTACAGGAAACACTGGATCAGTTCTGAAGAGGTTTTGAATGCAGCCACTGCCTCAAATCTCATCATCAACTTGCTTTTTTGAAGTGGTTCCCAAAGTTGGAGTCTGGACCCCACTGTGGGTTTTGAAACATCACGTAACCGTCCTCAGATGGTTTACAGATATCTATTTAAATGTACCGCAAACGAAACAGGGGGAGTGTTGGTGCACTGGTTAGAGTGCACCACATCTGCACACACACATCTGCTCCCCTGTGCGCTGTAGATGTCAGTCCTATGCTCTGAACAGAGGACTGTGGTTGGTCAGTGGTCTGTGGTTGAATCAGGAAGGACTTTTGGCGTTAATCAATTTCCAAATCCTTCTATGAGTTTGCTCAATGTGGCTACCTCTGAAGGGAGCAGGCAAAAACAAATTTAAATGTAAAAAAAAAAATGCAAAAGGAAGTTTCTCCACCATAATTATTTCAAAGAATAAACACAATAATCATAGATTCTTAAAATTTGTATCTTAGTTGTTAGAGTTTGTATTGTAACCATGCCTAGCATTGGTTAATCCCATGTTTAATGGGATTTATTAGCAAAATTTGCACATCTGAACTGGTAATATTTGGGGTTACGTGCTTTTGCATCCATTATTTTCTCAGTCTAAACCTGAAAAGTTTGTACGACTGATCTAAGACGACATTTTGTTTTATGAACTGTTTAGGAAGTGTAAAGAGAACTAAGATAAAACTAAAGGTTAAAGCTGTTGCCAGTGGCTCATTACTGACACCACAATAACCCCAACACTGTCTGCCTCTCCCTCTTTCACTATGTGCACTCTGAACTCTGAGGGGATTTTTAAAAAGTATGTTTACCACAGTGAGAGGCACGCTAGGTGAAAAAAAGACATTATCACACTCTAAGTTAAACACTTTGTGGTAACGTCTTTAAAAAAAGTAATAAAACTTAAACTATGATTTGTGTAAAAACAGTGAAAGATTTAAAAATGCCATTTTTGTCATGAAAAGTCACACTTTCTATCACCATTTAAACTTTGAATGCGGTTACTACAGTGAAGTACCAGAGTTAAAGAGCTACAAAGAGAACTTGATTTATTTTTCCCACTTTTTTTCACCAAATAGCCATTTTTGCTTATGTGAAAAATGTTGGCTATTTTGTGATTTCATCAACTCCAAATGATGGAACAGTGAACTGCTAAAGGTCATAGTACAAGTTTGCTGCCACACTTATTGATAGTTTCTTTTGGCTGCTCCCTTCCTCAGGGGTTGCCATGGCGAGCCAACTTGCATGATGGATTTGGCAATTTGTTTTACGTCAGATGCCCTTCCTGATGCAACCTGGACTTGAACTCAAAACCTCAGGATTGGAAGACCATGTCACTGACCACCGAGCTACCGCAACCACCCTAGTGCCACACTTATTGATATATGTATAGTTTTGTACGTGTTTTCCTAAAACTGCTTTAGGAGTACCAAATCAAAAATTGTGATGTAAATAGAAGAATAACAGATAAATAGTGAAGAGAGTTCTTCATAGGACTTGCACCTCTAATTGAACACTCTACTGTAGTCTTTATAGCTTTGGTACAGAGTTACTACAGTCTAGTGATTTTCCACAATTTCAAAGTATGAGCTCTATTTTCAGGAAACCCCATGGTAGTGGTGATGGGGGTGGTCTTTTCACACGATGTTCCCACGGATAAAACAAGGGTCTTATGATGGAATCAGAGGTGTCTTGCAGGTGCTCATTATATGGAGACTGTCAACAATAATTATGTGCAGAGACGTTTTGGACTGTGGTTAGAGGGATCTGCAGTCAGCAGCTAGGCAGCCACAAATAACAATTAAAAGATTTCTGTACAAAAACAATATTGTGTGTGTTTTTACTTTTAAATCTTGTGTTTTGTGTATTTTTGTTCTCAGAGACAGTGCCTTCTTAGATCTTGACAATGCTGATTACACCAAGAGGTAGGTAAATAAGTTCTGAGTTTACCCTGTTCATCCCTAACGAGTTCCTCTGGTCTATTGTGTCATTGCTATGGTTAAAATGTAATGTGGCTTCCGTCTGTTCCCCCCACCCCCCAGCCCTCTGCTGAACTTTATCCAGACATGGTTTGATGAGTACAGTGAGGACTTCAGGGACCCTCCGCAGCACGCAGCGCTCAGGCTGCTGTTGGACCGCCTAAGGATCAGCGCAGCTGTGCATGACAACATGCGCAGCCAGCCCAACTTCTGTTCGTTGGCGGGACAAGCTGAGGAGCTGCTCAAGAGGTTCCAGAAAGAAGGTGACCTTTCACCTCAGAACTTGTCCTACTAGCAGCATAGCTTTCCTTCCCAGCCTTACAGTCAGCGATGCTGGGAATACCATTAAAACCCTAAAAGTCGCTAACATTTCCTAATTGGTGATGTGTTTTTTTTATTAGACGTGGCATCAAATGTTGGTTTTGCTGCAGCAGATCTTGAGCAAGATGAGGAGGGCTCTGCTGATGAGGATTCAGGATGTGAAAACTCTCCAGATCCAGGAGACATCATGGATTTCTCCGCTGCAGCCATTGCAGAACAGCTCACTCAGATAGACTCTGTACGTGAGGAAGCGTTTCTCATTTCCCTCTTTAAACACGTTTTGATGGTGACTAACAGATGAATGTGGACATTTCAGGCTCTGTTTGTCAAAGTAGTGCCCTACCAGTGTTTGGGCTGTGTGTGGTCCCAGAGAGACAAGAAGGAGAACATGTCCCCCACTATTCGAGCCACCATTGCCCAGTTCAATACCATCACCAATTGGGTCATTGGTTCCCTGCTCTGCCTGCCTTGCACTTCCTCTCGTGTGCCTCCCACATCAGCAGCACAGAGGGCTTGCATCATAGAGAAGTGGATCAAAGTAGCACAGGTGAGTTCACAGGTGGGAATGATGGCTCTATTTTCAGAAGATTTGTCTTGCACCCCTCCCCAAGTTAAGGACAAAATGCCTCGAGAATTTTAGAATTAGGCAAATCCATGAAATGCAAATGTTCCTTTTACAGGAATGCCGTCGCTTGAAGAACTTCTCTTCTCTGAAAGCCATCCTGTCTGCCCTTCATTCAAATGCAATTTACAGGCTGAGGAAGACCTGGGCTGCTGTGTGCAGGTTGGACCACTTCTGTTTCAAAGGACACATAGTTTTATTTGTCTATATGCTCGGAAAATATATGAATTGTTATGTAATTATCATTTAATGAGGTCTTTGAACCCTCTTCAAGTGCAAAGTAGGGACTTTATTGGAGACGTCAGCAGAAAAGTGGTTTTAAGTGATGACCCAGATTCTAGTTCAGGTCATGAATATTGTAGTACATTCAAAGTTCAAAGTGGAAAAACTTCACATAAACTGCTGACAGCGCAAGCTAGCTATGAATAGCTGTGAATATTTAACACCACTTAATGTGGATAACAGTTTAAATGTTGGAATAAATACCAAGGATTTGCACTTCATGTTGGTTTTGCTGCTTTTTGCAGAGACAGCATATCCACGTTTGAGAACCTCTGGGAGACTTTTCCTGATGAGAATTGTGTTCTGATGAACAAGGAGCTCCTAGTGGAGGTGAGCAAAGCAAAACAACCATGTGTGCGTTATGTTTTTTGTGTGTGTGAAGCAATCAGTGCAATGTAGTGGTTGAAACAATGAAAGGAATCCTCAACGAATGCCTTCATTGCATTAAAATACAGTCCCATCTCATTTTTGCATGTTCTTCTTGTGTTTCTATGACAAATATCTATTTGTAGCTTTAAGAAAATACCATAGCCTCTTTACATATCATTTACTCTAGAATATCTAGCATGATCTCCAGCAATGCCTAGTTGGATTTAATGATCATGTTGAAAACTTTGAATCATAAAAATACCAACATTAAAATGGCATAAGTGCCTAAATGAAAGTTACAGGTACATACCTGTGACCCAACAATAACAATACACAACCTCATGCTACACTATGCTAATGCTCTGTCGACACTGTTACAGTCCCGTGGAGGAACTCATGGCCTTTCTATACATAATTATGGGTCTTTTTTAATTTGCCTCGTTAGAGCCGCACATCAGTGACTTATTCTTTAATGTTCTTGGAATGTGCTCTTTGTACACAATGTCATGTTGCTGTTTTGTTCATCTTCTCTTGTTGGACTCTTTGTGATATTGCCAGAGTACCAACAATGTCTGCGCAATGCTTTTTTAGTATTATTCATTCAACCTTTATTTATACAGGTTAAACTCACAGTACCAGCTGTATACATATACATATCTCCACATATACATATCTATACATATAACCAACATTTTCCACTTGTCATTAATTCTAGAAACATGGTCCTGGATTAAATTGATGTCCACATTGTTGTTATGGGTTTGGCTTGGACTTTATTTGAAAGCAAAAGGAACATAATTTTAATTAGAAAACTAAAATACACCAAAGTATGGCATTGAGAGCACTAGCAAGAAGAAGAAGATGCTGAAGATGGTGGATAAAACCAACACATGCAGGATGTTGAAGTTCATTTAAAGAGTATGGTACAAAAATGGTTTCTCACACTGGAAATGATTGTCTTCTTGACCATGGATCATTTCACTCTTGTAATAATTAAAAAAAGATTGCGTCTTGAGTTAATGTTTTCAGGAATGTTTAACAGGATATTAATGGCAAACAACAAGCCTTGAGCACATGATGTTCCCTTTAAGTGTTTTCTCTGTAGTCGTTTTCAGGAGATTGTGCCACAGACATCTTGTGTACAGTTTTGGACAAAGGACTCACCAATACATTTGTATGGAATAGCCAGTATTTGTTGCTGTACCAAAACATTGTTTCATTGACACATAAATTCTCTGTTTTCATAAAGGAGGTTTGTAATCAGTGCAAACACTGTCCCTCATGTGTTTATAGAACCTGTCTGTTTGCTTTATAGATAGAAATGCTTGAGGCCTCTGGCCCCTTTGAAAAATAGCACATTTCAAGCTAATGTGTAATGAAAAGTCTTCTCACGTCAATATGTGCTGCACACTTTAACTGAACACCACTTTGACTGTCATTAACAGGATTCAGGCCAAGCCACAGTGGGCAATGTTTCTCCAAAGATATACAAGAAGTGCCAACTCCTCAGACAGATGGTAAGCTGATTCTTACAGAGAGGAAAAAGTAGCTTTGAAGGCATGTGCTTAATCCAAAGACACACATCTGAGTTAAACCTGATCACGCTGTTGTAATGTGGCAAAATGTCATCTTTTATCTAGAAGTGTATAATGTTCACGTGAGGCTAAAGGCTCATGGAAATTTCTGTTCTTATATTACACTACTATGTGGAGAATCTCTGGCACGGTCAAGACCAAAACCTATCTTTAGCGTTGTTGCTGAGCAGGTTTCAAATGGCCTTCGGGTCACAGGATTTTTAGTTGGTAATAATAGACTGAACTCAGGTCTTCCTGGGTTGTAATATAAACCCACAGTGTTGCTGAATGACTGATTAACTTGTATGAACATTGACACTTTAAATTTTTTGGGCATAAAAAAACTGAAATCAAAGATGTGTGCTGGAATAAAAAAGATAAAGTGAAAAACTACAACTGTAAATAACAAAATGGTGTCCATACATGTATCTACAGAGTACCTCCAGTGGAGTGGTTCCTTACCTGGGCACTTATCTGACCGTTCTTACCATGTTGGACACAGCTCTGCCAGACACTGTGCAGGTACACCATGCAATATTTAACAGGACTGACAGAAGTGAAACAAATAAAATCTTATTAAGGATTGCTGATAAGAACATAGCAGCAAGTTCATTTAACTCTAATGTAGTCTATCATGAGTAGTATCCTGATGCATGAACCTGGCCATGAACCTTTTTGGATATCATGAGTAGTGTTGCAACATTTTAAAATGTGCATTTGTTTTTACTGGTAACCGTATTATACGGTTTGTTGTATATAGCTTATTTATTGAACTAGTTTGAAGAAACAGTTTTGAATCTGCAGAGAAAAGACAAGCTAACAGCTGGTCCCAAGTCAGCCTCGGCTAACGTAGGTTGCTCTGGTAATTAAAACTCTAAAACTAGTTTACAAAATGCCATAGTGGTTTAAGCAAATGCTGTTTTAAAACCCATTACACTCCCATCAAATATTACATTTCAAGGTTATAGAATATATAAATATTTTCAAGTAGCTGCTAGCTGTAGCATTTTAGGCTCAACTTGGGGCATTTGATAAAGGAATATATTTATGTTGAAACAACAACAAAATGCTAATATGACAATAATGTAAAGGTTTCTGGAGTAACATTTGTATTAAGTGCTGTGATATCTTGAAGACTGAAGTTGTTTTAAGACTGCAAAATCAATTCAGACCACATTTAACAAGCTAGTAGCTCGCTAATACCATACCATACCATACCATACCATACCATACCATACCATACCATA